TTGCAGTTACTATGTAAATTGCCTCTACCCAGTGACCTCGTCCTTTGATAACCGATGGCTCTTCCTGAGCCAAAGACGAGTCCTGCTGCTTTTAGAAATGAATTGAGCCTTAGTTTTCCTTCCTGGGGCAGGACCCCTGGGCCGTGTGGATTTTTGCTGAGCAGTGCGGCTGGATAGCAGCAGATCTCCAAGATGTCCTGAACCGACCTTCCAGCCCTGGGGCTCCTTTTCAGTGGAGCAATTTCCCAGCTGGAGCTGCCCAGTGCTTGGGAAGGAGCATTTAAGAGTATGCTCCTAGGCTCAATTGTAGATTATCCACATGGAATTGCTTCGTTTGATCTCATTTCTTATTTATTATTAGGATGACAGTTCTCAATAGCTGATAAGTCGGCTGTTAGCTGCTATTAAAACAACCTTCTCTCCTGCTCTCCTTCTCCAAAAGGGGGTGCGGACAGGGGGCTCTGACACTATTAATACAGCCCAGAGAAATGGGAAACCGGCTTGACTGAACTCGGCCAGTTCTCTCCTGATCAGAGCTTAAATCCCTTGGACAAATGACCCAACCATGAAAACGCCATAGGTCGCAGTGTCAGGAATGTCTCCCAGCTGCGATGCTACTTTTACACCGGTCCTGACTGGGCCAGTTTGAAACTGATGTGAGGAGGATTAGACAAAGCAGAGCAGCTAAAGGACTAAGGGAACGATCTTGATTTAAAAATCCATTTAAACCCAGGCTCGGTAATTAAAAACACAACACCAAAACAGCCCCACACCCGACATCCAGCAACTCGTCAGGAAATCCTGTCACAGATTGAATCAGTCCCCGCCAGGGCCATCCAGAGGGCAAGTGGGGCAATTTGCCCTGGGCCCCGCAGGGGCCCCGCGAGCATCTCTTTCCTGGCTAGAGGCGCCTCACCCGGTGGCAGTCCAGGACTTCGGTGGGGGGGCCCTTCAATTGCTCCGGGTCTGCGGCAGCATTTTGGCTGCGGGGGGGCCCTTCAGTGCTGCCGCAGACGTGGAGTGCTGCCCGGTGAGTACAAGTGCCGCAGTGGGTGGTGCCTTTTTTTAGGTCCGCTCCCCCGCTTTGCCCCAGGCCCCCTGAATCCTCAGGAAGACTCTGGTCCCCGCCACTCCTCACCTCCCTTAAAGCAGCTGTTCCCCTCCACCCCCAATGCCAGCTCACACCGATGGGGCTTTGCAGCATAGCCCGAGTTTCAGCCTATTTCACAGCTTGGGGGCGGGAAGGAGCGAATTCCAGACACAAAGGATGGAGGAATAGCTGGACTTGAAGCAGCCCTGACTGAGGCAGAAGTAGATGAGTGATCCTAAGAGCAATGGGGCTTAGGGGTTTTCCATGTACTGCTGTCGGCACTGGAGTAGGAAACTCCCCAAAGGCCTGTATGAAACTGCCACCCCCAAATTCTCCAAGTCCCCAGAAGGCACATGGTTTGGTAGCCTCCAAAATTCCCACACTAGCACCACATCAACTAGTCTGGTGCGAATCCCATGGGCAAGAACCTGTTTCTTTTAAGACAGTTGAGTTACCAGAAGCCCAGTTCAGTCTCTGTTCTCATCTGGCCCTGACGCTTTAGTAGCTGAACGCCGCCCAGTCATTAAGGGATCTTCTCATCAGAGCAGGTGGGGAGTCAGGGGCTGGGACTAGATGACCTTTTGAGGTCTCTTCCAGGTCCACAATTCTATGACATGTTAATCTCGGTAACAAAGCACAAGGTGAATTAGTTGACTTGCCTAAGATCACAGAGGAAATCTAAAACTGCGAATTGCACCCAAGTCTTCCTACTCCCCGTCTAATGCCCGTTCCACTAGACCATTCAGAATGAAGCAGTGATTGTGCCTTACTAAGGATCACAAGAGACCCCTACATTTTAAGATGCCCCTAGACAATTGACAAGGCAGCGGGGAATCCTCAGACTGGCCCAGGGAACGACCTGTTACTCCTGACCTAGAAGAGAACATAAACCAGCCACACAACAGTTTGCACATGGAGCAATGTACCAAGGCTCGTGGTGGATTCTCCATCACTGACAATTTTTAAATCAAGATTGGATGTTTTTTGAAAAGATTTGCTCTAGGGCTTGTGATGGGGGACGTTCTCTGGCCTATGTTATCCAGGAGGTCAGACAAGCTGATCACAATGGTCCCTTCTGGCCTTGCAATCTATGAACCTTAGTCCTGACTTAAAATCTGAACTCCAGAGAACCTGGCTGTCTAGAGCCACACAACACAACTGCATTAAACGTCTTAATGGTGGAATTTTTAAAAGCACCACAGTTACTTGAGTTGTGCTGGAAAATAGAGGTAGTTGGGTATTTTTCGACAAGCTGTTTTTCACTGAAAAATGCCAAGTTGTCAAAAATTAGATGGTTAGGAAAACAGGGTTGGTTTCACTGAATCTCTTGACTCCAAATTTATTGGAGGAAAAATATTTTCAAGTTTTTTTAAACAAAATGTTTTGACATATTCAAACCAGAATGTTTTGGGGCTTTTGAGCCGGAACAACGTTTTCAGGAATGTTAAACGTGAAAAAAGTCACAATCAAAACATTTTTAAATTATCGAAGCCAACGGTTTCATTGGATGCAGAATGAATTTTTTGGTTTGGTTTATTGACTCTTGACAATTTTCTAGAGTTTGACTCTTCATCTTAATTTGGGACGGGATAAAATTTTGAAATCTCCCAAATTCTCATGGATGGGAAAGGAGTTTCCCATCTAGCTCCACTCCAAAGCCACCCAGACGCTTTTGAAAATCACATCCTCTGGGCCCACTTGTGTAGAACGAAGCATCTCCAAGCTCTGCCTATACACCAGCTCAGCTGAGTCTCCAGGGTTGGCAACTCCTGCAATTTTTTGGCACTGGATTTGTTGCTTTTCGGCAAACCCCGGTTCTTGGAATGAGCTGATCTGAGATCCTCCGCTTTCTGCTGTGTTATTTTTTTAAGCAAGTTTCTAGCCCCCTGTTTCATGGCGTAAAGCTTAAAATTGTGACTCAAGTTCTCCTGAAAGACTCACAAACCAGAAGGCAACGAGAAAGAACCCAACATTTTTAAAACACATTTCATTTCTTTCATGATTTTTGTACATCTGGAGTTGACAGTAGAGGGTCTCGGGCTGTCATAGACTTGTAGATTCCAAGACCAGAAGGGATCTCTGTGAGAATCTCAGTTGACCTGTATAACACAAGCTGTAGGACAGGTCTGGATTAATCCCTGTTCGAACCAGAGCAGATCTTCTAGAGAAACATCCAATCTTGATATTAAAAATTGCCCGTGATGGAGAATCCACCACGACCCTTTGTAAATTGTTCCAATGGCTAATTATCCTCAGTTAGAAATGTACACTATTTCTAGACAGAGTCTGTTACCTGTTTATACGTATTTATTGCACTATATACTCGTTTGATTACAAGGTGTAAGAAGTAGGTAACAAGCTTACTAGTATGCAAATGTTAGTTAGTGTTCATATCCTTTATCTGTAGTCCTACAGGTGGCTTTGCCTCACTGTATATTCCTGGGTATTTCCATTAGTTGCCTCTTTGAAATTAAATACAATTTAATCCTCTTGTTCAAAATGGACTGGGGAGTTGTGAATAAAGCAGATTTCACTGTCACACTGACTCCACTTGGACTGCCTCTGCACCTCTGTCATTATCATAATTGGGCTGAACCATTTTTTGCCTTTGCTTAGATCTCACCAAAACAAAATTCACCTTTAGGCAAGAGCTCAGACATGACAGTTTTCAGCCCAAAAGGAAGAGTTCAGTAGGTGGTGAGCTCGAGGA